AGGTGACACTGTTTCCTGGTCTTGGAGATGAGTCACCCTGCGAATCAGAACAGTGAGGGCTTTGAGCTCTCAGGCCCTCACAGTCTGGAGGCAGGGGCAGTCTCAGATGCCGACAGCAGGTGCCAGACACGTGATTGACAGGGACACGGTGCCAGAGAGAATGCGGCGGTCCCTTGGCGACGCTCAACTTGCCATTAAGTATAACAACCTGACAGCGATGAATTCTCACCACGAGTGGGGCCCCCAAGCCCCTGCATGTCCCCTTCATCACTACTCCCCCAAAGGGAAACCATTACTTTGCTTTTTCCTTCCGCAGATGAGTCTCGCTCTGCTCCGACATCAGAGATGGGCCGCCAGAGGGTGAGGACTCTGCAAGGTCTGGCCCTTTTGCCTAGGGTTCTGTCGGTGAGAGCCCCCCACACTACCGGCCTCCTGCCAGTGCAGATCTCCACTGTGATGACCACCAGGCAGGCCTTCCACCTGCTGAAGGCTGGGGGCTGTTCTGGACACTGCTGCAAGCAACACACTGTGGCATTTCTCCTGGTGAAGCAAGGGCCCCATTTCTGTCAGGTACAGTAGGGCGGGTCACAGGCTACGCCTATGCTCGGCTTTAACAGACACTAGGTACCAGCTTCCCAAGGTGTTTTTGCCAATTTGCAGCCCCCTTCACCCCCCACCCCCGCAGCGTCTGAGAGCCTGGTTAAACCACAGCCTTGCCCGCACTTGGGATCCATTTACCCCGCCTCGGCCATCTCTGAGGTACACGGTGGTATTGCCTGGGGGGTATAACTGCACTTCCCTTCCCTTTCATACTCTCCTGGCCAGTGGGCCATCTTCTCCTGCAAAGTGTCACCACCATAGTTAACTCTTCTTCCTCCGAATACCTGGAACAGCTCCTGCCTTCCTGAGCAGACTAGCTGACACTCCCAGGGACACGAGGCAGGGGCTGCCTGACGCCATCGCTGAAGAGGCTGCAGGCTTGAAGGGTCTCACGACAGTTGTTCCTTAGAGAAGCAAGCCCAAGCAGCAACAGCACCGAGAGAGAATGTGGAGACAGGGCTGAGTGTTCAGGGCTTAGAGTTGGGGGTGGCATGTGTCCCCAGAGGGCAGGGGCAGGAAGGCAGATTTATTACATTCTGTGGAAAAAGCCTGAAATCTGGGAAGAACACACACATTTCCGAGTTCCTCCCTTTCTCCCAGCCTCGGTCAACTGAAACTAGACCTGGAAAACGCCCTCTCCACTTTACAGCGGCTAACTTTGGAAAAAGTGAGACCATTTCAAAAGAGCTGGCAGGTCCTCCCAGGTCACAGGAAGCCAGCTCTCCCATCTGGTATCCTAATCCTCAACATCTCCCTCCCCTCCCGAACAGTCTCACGAGGCAGGAATCGCAATCGTCGGAACCATCTCTGGGCCTGGCATTCAGCAGAATTAAATTACCATGGAGTTAATGAATGGCTATTTATTAAAGAAGGGCCGGGAGGCCGGGAACTTCGAGGGAGGACTACTTCTACAGCAGGGGCTCTGCTGGCTGCTACCACAAATCACTCATCCCCCAAAGAACTCCCAGGTTAGCCCGAACATTCTCACTTCAAAAATAAGGAAACTGAGGGGATGGGATTTTATCAACTTGCTCAGAGCCGTATGGTCGTTAAGTTCTTGGGGCAAAACTAGCACCGAGACAAAACTCCGGGCTCCAAAGCCCACTGCTCCCTCACCCCATACCGCTTGGTTCCAAGATCAAGGGCAGAAAACAAGTTCTTGGCTAGCCAGAGTGGGTGCCTCAGTGGCTGTCCAGGGTCAGCTCAGAGCCACTCAGCATGGAGGCCTCTGCCAGAAGCAAGCAATGCTGGGCCGCTGGGGAACAGGTCACCCTCAGGCCCTGAGAGCGGAACCCAGGTGTGGTGTGGGTGCAGCCCACCAAGCACGGCCAAGAAAGGTGCCAGGAGACCAGGTGATGTGGGCAGAGGTACAGCGGCCACGACGCTGACAGTCGCAGGAGGTAGAGTGTCCCCTCCCTGGGCCACCCATCTGACACGCAAAAGGCTTTGTTCTCGAACACTTTCAGACGCGGGAGCAGCGCCCAGATGGGAGCAGCCCACGGTCCCCATGCTGCTTTGCTCAGAGCCCCTCTCTCCCCCTGAATCTGCTTGACTGGTACTGCCATGGCAGGACCTGAAAAAGCTGGAAGAGGAGGTCCCTCTGTCCCGGGCAGCAGCCCCCTCAGCACACGCTCGTGCGTTCGTTCCCCTGCATTGCGGGACGTGAGCAAGAACCCGCACGCTGCACTCTTGGGCACGAGCCGGACTTGCCAGGCAGAGAGCCTACACCAACACGTCTGCAGATGTGGCCACCTCTGATGCCTTCAACTCCCCGACAAAGGCATCAGCACCCCCATTTTATAGATGAAGAAACCGAGGGGTGAGGAGGTGCGGTGGGGGCAGAGAGTGAAGCCGAGCCCAGGCCCACTGTAACCTGTGCTACCCTCTGCTCCACAGCGTGCTGTGGACACCACGCCTGGAGGGCTGCGGAGGCCTCGAGGGGCCATCAGACACTCAGAGGCCCCTGGATCCCAGCAGCCCACTGCTTTCCGTGTTGAAACAGAAAAATGCCCCTCACTTAGATCTTGCCAAGTAGGCATGAGGAACAATTACTCAGAAAGATTATAAAGCATAGGAGCCCTACAAAATATGATTTCTACACTTGAGAATAATCATCTAGAGAATTAAATACTGCAGGACAAAAGGGTCAAGAAGTTGCCCCCTTGAAAAGGAATCTGGATTCTGGGCAAGCTTTCCCTACCTGCCCATCACGAAGGGCCGGCCTCCGGAACAGCTTCCACGGGCAGAAGGGCAGCGGATTCCAGGCGAGGCCCGGGTCACACAGCAGCACCTCCAAGAGCCAGCGGGGCTTCTGCCTCCCCCACCCCAGGCTCCTCCCGCCTGCAACCACATGAACTATTTTGGGTGGTCGAGGGCGAGTCAATAGCTGTACCAAGTTTCCCCTTGAACAGGTTTCACCATCAATTTTTAAACTTGAAAGGAAAGGGGAAAAAGAAAAAAAAAGGAAGGAGCTTAATGATTGGAAGGTCCCGAAGCTGTGTCTACAGACGCCGCAAATGTCAAGGTCTGAGAGTATTCAACAAATGAAAGCAGAATTACATAAAAGCAACAGCTAATAAAAAAGATTGTCAGATGCTGTGTTTTCCATCCTCCCAGCCATTACAGGAATAAAATAATCCACAAAGAAGATCGAAAACCTTTTTTCAAAACTGATACAATCAAGTCTCATGCCTCTCTGCTCCCCTCTCTCCAGCCCCTCACGCCCTACTCCTCCCTCACAAATCTCCAGTCCCTGAGAGGCTGGATTACTTTTCTTTTTTCTTTCTTTCTTCTTCTTCTTCTTTTTTTTTTTTTTTTTTGCAAAATACCAGTGTTTAAGAGTGAGAAAGGAGATCATGTTTTACACTTCCTTCTGGAAGCATTCAATAACCATTCACAATCATGTAGGTAAACTGCATGTCTTGTTTTGTTTTTCAAAAAAACCCTACATCTGCATATGTCAGGAGTTTGGATTTCACTGTATTATGAGTGGGGAAGAACAGCTAAGAAAGAACTCCTCCAGGAGAATTTCCTTTCCTTCAGCAAAGCTGAGAATTGGTTTGAAGGAGAACTAGAGTAGAGGTGAGAGCAGACAAGGGGAAAACAGAAATTAGAGAAGCAGAAATGTCGAGGTTACTTCCCTTCCACCCCAAAACAGACACCAGCACGCATGCTTCTAGAACCAAGCCCAGGAGGGAGAGGCAAGAGGCGCACAGCAGGAGACAGCAGAATTACACCCATCACAACAACAGCAACTCCGTGCTTACGAACATATGGGCGACTGTAATCATTAGAGCTGTGGCTGGTGGCAGTTTTCTTACCCTTTCCAGGATCTCACATCACAGTCCTTGTCATGACAAGCTAGAGTCCACTTGGGCAGGCGACTGTTGCAGGAAGCACTGCCTCTGTCAGCAGCCGGGGTGCACTGCTGACCTCATGAACTGCGAGGCTCTCGCCAGCAGCGCTTTGTGTTCACCTTGCAATTCTGGCCACCCTGAAACAGCCTCTGGGGGTGCACACACGGGTGTCCACTAAGCAGGGAGGAACCTCACGCCTGTTCCCCTGCCTGGAAACCCAGAAATCCACGTTTCTGCCAGACTCCGGTGTGGCTTGCCTCAGGAGACAGCCCCTATGGAAATCAAGCCCCTCAAGCAAACTGTCAATTTCAAAGCTCCAAACCGTGACAAACGATTCTCAAAGATTTGCCTGCAATAAGCTGATGGCTCAGGCTGCCTGGCATGCTGTGTCAAGCATGAGGGAGAACATTTTTTTTTTAACCTCCCTACCATCCCCTCCCATGTTTTAAGCTATTTCCTTGAAAAATCTGTCATGACCAACAAATTAAGTGCCCCCCCCCCAAGTAAGCAAATTACCAAATGAGTTTCCAAGAGTCTTTGTAGGCTTAAACACAAAAACAAAGAGGGAATGGTGATGTGTCTTAGAATCTCATTCATTTCAAAGGCTTATCCTTAGGAAAGTGGAGTGTGTAGCCACCGTGCCCTCTGATCTCCCGAGTCCCAGGAGAAAAATCAATAATACAACTTTAATATATTTGTACAGCAAGACTTCATGTTATTATTATTTTTATCCAATGCAGCTTAACTATAGTGAGAAAGGTAGACTGGGTCTCAGCACCGCCCTGTGGTGAAAGTGAATGCTTGGTAAAACTGAACTAGAACAGAGCCAGCAGCATTCAACAGAAAGCGGCCAATTAAAAACCAATTATGTCTGTGAATGCAACTTGTTGAGAGGTTGGGGGCGTGGTGCTTGCAGTAGGAGGGAGGGAGGGAGGGAGGGCATGCTGCAGGGGGACTGGCGGTGGGGGGGGGGGCAGGGGCACCTTGGCCATGGGCTCCTCTCCCCCCACCTTGGTGGACTGTGGTCAGGTGGCTCCGCCTTACCTTCTTCTCAATGCACCCCAGCTGCTCCTTAAAGATGGTTTCACGGCGTTTCAGCTCTGCCTCCCAGTTCTCCAGCTCCCTGGCCTAGTTGGAAGAGAACAAAGCCTATGAGCGGCGGGTGCTGGGCGGGCAGGCGCTGCAGGGAGAGCGGGACAGATGCTTTCTGCTCACGGCAACGTTAACAATGCAAAGAGTAGCCACCGTGAACTGAAAACCTATGATGAGCCAGATCGCCCACACGTCTTGTGTATAATTCTCCCCCCGAGCCTTCCAGGTAGATAACTGCTGGAACCCTACCACAGAGGATAAGCACTTGACATTTATTAAATGCTTATTGTATGCCAAGTCCTGGTCCAAGTGCTTCCCCAAGATTCTTTCATTTGATCCTTACAATAAAATGTAGGTGGGGAGATTATGGCTCCACATTATAGATGAGGCAATGAAGGGGCTAAGAGACTGTTCCAAAGCTCACAGCTGCCAGCTTTGAACCTCAGCAGATGCAGGGTCTAGCCGGGAAGCTGCACTGCTTAGGGGCCAGAGCTGTCTGCCAGCCATGGAGCCCTCACACCTGGTACTGCCCTATACCGCCAACACACACTCAGAGCCGTAAAAGGCAGGGATGTCCAAAGGCCCTGCCGGTGAGGCAAACTCCCTGCCCCAGGGTCAGGATCAGGAATATGAAAGGCGAGCCTTCCACCCATGAATGCAGTTACAGAAGCCTAGAATCCTAGAGCTAGATGTTAGCTGCTCACTCGCCCACCTGATGGGGAATAAAAGAAGTGGTGGCACAGACGGCCAAAGACTCTCCCCAGCTGTTAGTTGGGGGGGTGTGGCTACCCAGGGCAATCAACCTGGAGCCAGCAGATTGGGGTCGAACACCCCTACCCCATATCCAGTTGGGTTACCATGAACAATTTCCTAACTCCACTGAGTTCCAGCTTATTCAAGTATAATGTATAAACCTGAAACAGAAGTGCCGGCTCCTGTACCCCCCACACAGGACTATGCAGGTAAAAGGAACCCCAACAGAAATGGGCAGGGTCACGGTAGGCCACCACAAAGGAACACCTCCATCATCGTGAAGCAGGAACATATATCCTCCTTGCTGGGGTACCTATGTCCCCAGAGTTTCTTAGAGAAGTTCTGGGACAAGGTCTCGCCTCTGCCCAGGGGTCTGAGAATGTCAGGGGCTGGTCTGGTGCTGGTGGGGAGAAACAGCTCCACCTGCTCACTCTCCATACCTGCGCAAAGAGTCCAGTGTGTCAGGCACTGTTCTAGGCTCCCTGCATCACTTAATTTGCACGAGTACCAAGCTGGTCAAGGACTGAGGTTGAACCTAAGTCGCGTGACTCCAATCCTGAGCCTCTTCCTTCAAACCACACCATGGTGTCAGCACTCAGGTTTGAGCTGTTCAAAAATACCAGGAACTGATGTATTTGAAAGCCCGTTTCCTAAGCAATGCTACTACCCCTGACATGAGACCTTTCTGAAGCCACAGGAGGGGGTCAGGAGATGCTGACCACAAGACAACGCACGAGCAAAGGGTCATGTTTCGAGGACCACACTGCTCCAGGGACACAGGAACCAGGGACTTGGTGACAGGCTGACCACTGAAGACTGGACTTCTCACAGTGACCTGACCATGAGTGGCTGGAAATCTGAACAAGCTGCTGTCCATTTCTGTGGATTTTCCTCTTACCTCTAGAACAGGGAAAAGTAACTTGGCTCCTAAGGCAGCTGTACAATATCTAAAATGCCAAGAAGGCTTCTGGAATGCCTGTGGCATGCCAACACTTCAGAAAAGCTAAATACAAACAGTGAGACTGAATGCTGGGGATTTCTCACAGGATTTTTCAAAGCATGCTGCTGAGGCAGTGTCCCAGGAATGCAAGCGTGGCTGGCTAATCTGCCCTGGGCTGTCAGCAGCCAGCACTTAAGCACTAACTATCCCTGTGCAATCAGAGAGAGAAGCTGGTCTGGTACAAGGAAGCGGCCAGTACAGGAATATCTCCAGGGCTCCCAACCTGCCGTTTTCAGGCCAACAGTCCCAGCCAAGCAAGAAGATGACATCTGAAAACAAAATTGCGATGAGGCTCTTCAGTTGTCATTCATTAGGGGTCAGTGGGACAGCAGACCAGGAGGCTCTTCCACGTGTCCACCCAGCAGCCGGCCGGCACATCAGGATGTCTCCACTGGGCAAAGGCTCCAGAAATTCTCCGCCCATGGTTCCTGGGCCTGTGCCAGCACACACGTCTAGGCCAGGAATGGGATGCAGAGCTGAGGCCCCGGGAAAAGCTCTCAACCATATGGCTTCCTCAGACCACAGAGAGACTGCACATACACACACGCGCGAGCACACACACACACACACTCACTCTGTGGAGGCCTCCTTTTATAGTCACGTCAATTTGCAACACAACTAAGTAAGGAAGTGATTAACTGTTTAGAGAGCTATGTGGCTGTCTCGCTCACTGGAATGGAAGCTCCTGAGAGGAAGGGCCTTGCCTAACTCCCGCATACCCCAGAGCCTGGGCCTCCACCACCGTGAGCCAGCAAGCCAGCTAGCTCATTGCCTCTGCTCCACCCATTAACAGGCTGCACCTCTCTCTGTTCATCTCTGAGATTTATAATGAAATCCAATAGCTGACAATGGACAGGAGGTGACACAGGAAAGAGTTGTAGAAAATGAATGCAATACAAATGCCGGGGTGTTGGGACAGGCCCAGAACTGACACGGGGTGACTCGATTTTGATGGATGGAGACGGGTTTCAGGAACACTGGCCACGCCACACAGCTGCCTCATCACCCACAGGAGGCCGCGTCTCACAGCACGACTGTGGAGTTAGGACGCACAGGCAGGTTTCCATGACTGATTCGGCAATTTATCAGAACATTACTGAGCGTCCAGCATGCCACAGGCACTATGGTAAAGGGCTTGGGATACAAAAGGGAAATGAGAGAGAAAGTTTCTGTTCTCATGGAGCTTAGATCCCAGTGGGAGAGACCAACGTGTGTACAGATAAATAAGATAATTTCAAAGTGATACGTGCTGAGGAGACCAGAGACAGAATAACTGGTGGGGTAGCAGGTTGCTATTTTCTCTAAGGAGATTTCCCAGACAGTCTTCTGAGGAAAAATACTGAATGAAGTATCCTGCCTCCAATAGAAAGGTAAAATATCACCATTATGAAGATCTAGTCGGCGGATTATAGTCTTTGAATAGGGAATTGAAAGGAATCTTTAGTGATTTAGTCAAGGACTTCCTCCAGTCAAGACAGCAGAGTGAGTTCACACTTGGATGCATCTACTCTGCTCCAAGCACATAGCAAGGGCAGATAAAATATAAGAACAGTAGACCAAAGACATGCCAGGTTCAAAAACAAGATTAAAATGTCCAACAGAACAGAAATGCAAAGCAACAGGCCTGCTGAGTGGCAAGCAGAAGTAGCTGGAACAAACCCTGCTCTGCAGAGGCGGGGACTACGGCACGAGCCTGGGGCTTCTGGAATAGGAAGCTGCCATAAAAAATTCGTGAAGACTCGCAGGTGGGGCTTTGGCTTCATTTTGCCTGGTCCTCAGTTCGGCCCAGAGGCCGCAGATCTGGTCCCAAGGAGACACCTGAACCAAGCTCAGGCTCAGGCCCCAGCTCCACAGCACCACCAGGACCACTGTGGAGAGAGGCCTTAGAAGGCCACAGTCACCCTAGCCCTACCCCTGGGTGCAGGTGGACGCAACCACAAAATGCTCAGCAGGAAAAAGAGGCCTGTAGAAAATGGAGGCGACAACAAAGCAAAGCAAAATAAGACCAAAGGCAAACATTCTACTGCAAATGAGTCTGCAAATTAAATCCCAAATATGTAAAGAAATGTAATGCTTCCAATCAGTAACTGGATTGTGAATTCACTCCAGATTAAATTAATTTTTGAGGGCATTATGACAGAAGTGTCTCTAAAACTTTTTATTATGTGAAAGTTTAAACACAAGCTGTAACAACATAGTAAAACCCCATACAGCCATCACTACACTACAAAAATTATAAACTAAAGGTAATTTTTTTGCCTACACGCCCCAGCCTCTTCCTATCCCCAAAAGTCTTAGAGCAGGTGAATATATTTCTCCGAAAGGACTTATTTTCCTAAGTAGAACCACAGTATCATTGCATACCCCCCCACACAAAAAAAACCTTTAACTTTCATAGCATGATCAAATTTCAACCAGTGTTCAAATTTCCAATTGATAATGAATTTTTTTAAAGATTTATTTATTTATGCTTATAAGATCTAGGGTACGGGCCAGAGGGTAGGGTGTGAGAGGACTCACCAGAGACAGAGCAGGGAACAGAACAGGCAGATCGACTGAAATACACTGCTGTGGGGAGCAGCGGGCAAGACAGGAGAGGTCTGCTACGTCATGTGGGTTGCTCCCTGGCCAGGGATAGAACTCGTGCTGCAGAGGCTGTGGATTGCTTCATAGATTGTGTCTTAACCCCTTGTGCTACCAGGGAGGCCCTGATAATGAATTTTTAATATATTCAAAATGATGAGTGAGTTTGATTTTTAAAAGAAGAAATTATTAACCTGAAACAGACAAACCCCCAAACAGGAGAATATCTCATAAGTTTTAGTTTTTTCAAAATAAAATGGATAAGACCTGAGGCAGGAAGGGGACAATTAGCAAACTGGAATGCAGAACAGAGATCTGAGCCAGAAAGTTGCAATAGAAGACAGAGATGAAAACTATGAATGAGGAAGATAAACTGACAGACTCCCACGTGGTCTAGGTGGCTATTTCTGAAAAACAGCTTGGATGGGACAGCAGAGGAAGAGGGGGTAGAGGAGAGAGAGAAGGGAGGGAAAAGAGGGGACGAGGAGGAGGTTAGATGTTAGAAGGCAAGTTAGAGGGAGGGGAGGGCAGGGGAGAGTTAAGATGAAGATGATGTGGAGGAAGGGAGCGAGATGTGGGCCTAAAGAGAAAAGGGGAGGGCTGGAGGGAAATAGTGGAGGTAAAGAAAAAGTTGTAAACTAAAAAAAAACAAATAAAATTGTCTAAGTATGTCAGTTATCACAATAAATATGTGGTTGTC